AGGTCAAGTGATTTGGGTGTATTTTGTACTACTTGCTGATTTCTGGTTTTGTTTTGTTTGTTTGTTTTGAAGCTACTGGACTCTTCAGGCCTTGTGTTGCTTTGCTTTCTTAATAAAAAGAAAAAAAAAACAATATGAATGTAGTTGTGCCTGGTGGTGTAGTCTGTAAACCCAGCTACTGAGGAGCTTGGGGCAGGAGGATTGCAAGTTCAAAGCCCTTCTGGGCTGCAGACTGAGTTCTAGGCCAGCTGGGCAACATGGCTGCAACTTGGCAAAGCCTAAACGGAAATAAATGCTGTCAAAGGAGCTGGCAAACAGCTCAGTCATGAAGAGCTTGCCTCACCTCACTTATAGCAGACCCTAAATCCAGGCCCCAGGACCAGCACAAAAGTTCACATCACATCTTTCCCCACAAGATTATTCATTCTCATCCCCATGCTTTCTCTGGGTGCTGGTCAGTTTTGCTTCCAGCTGACTTTTCAATCTGTTCTGAATGGTCAACAGCTTCAAGGGATACCCTCCTCACTCTGCAGCTGGAGTCACCTTTCCTCAAGTGTAATGTGACTGTCTCTTTCTCTTTATGACAATTGCATGTCATAAGGACACAGAACTATGACAATCCCTCTACAAGAAGGGCATCTTGCCTCCCTCCATGCTGGAGGTTCACTGTGTTCCGAGGCCAGCTGCCCTTTGCTTTGGCCACCCTGACCTTTTCAGGGCCTTGTCCTTGCAGGGTTTCAGGCAGACATGGCTTCTCCAAGTCAGTTATTCTGTCTGTCTGGGGTACTCCTCCCACTTTTCCTCATTAAATCTATTCATCTATCTGATCTTAGTTGCCATTCCCTCCGAGATGACGGATCTGAGGGCATGTTATAAGCTAAGACATGTCATGCTTCATTTCTGAACTTACGGCAAACATTTTTATTTTTAAGCCAAATGCTTATTTAGACCACATTTTTTTCCCCAAATAGAAGAAAAACAGAGTTAAGGCAAAGCCTTATCTAAATGGTGGCACCAACAATGTGCTAGAAGTGTTGTGTAAATACTTCCTTTGCTTGATTGCTTTTTGTTTTTATTCTTGTTGTTGTTAGACAGGGACTCAGGTAATGTGGACTGGCATTCAGCTTTTCATGTTGCCAAGGATGACCCGGATCCCTCTGCCTTCCTCCTTCCAGTGCTGAGATTACAGGCAGGCATGGCCATGTCTGGCATGTGAGTATTTCTTCACTGAGAACCTGGTGAAAAGCAGTCCATATTTTGAGCTTTCTAAAGAGATACAAATGGTCCCTAACTATCCTGTTTCCTGTTAAACATACACAAGTGTCATGCAATTATCTAAGGTATGGCTCTAACTAGATACTTCCAAAATATTTCTTCCTGTTTATTATTCGTCAGTTTTGCTTTTTTTTTTCTTTTTGAACTGTCATCTGAACACAGGGGTGGGGAGTGTCATTAAAAAATTGTTGTCGTGTTATACATTGAGCTATTAATAATGCATTTATTTTCCTTTATATCGTCATCTTGCTATACAATGGTTTGCATATGGGTGGCATATTCTAATACCAGAAAATTCAGTATATTTATGCTGCCTCTGAATATCTTTCTATTGTTTTATTATCGTTGATATTAGTAATCGTTACACACCCTGTCACGTGAGGAATACTTTAGAAGTACCTATCATTTCACAAAAATTAGCACGGTAACTGGGTGCATAGGAAGTTTGAGCAAGCGTACAAATACTGCCCAGGACACAGGTCAGCTGGCAGGCTTTTCCAGGATGCCTAAAGCCTTGGATTTGATCCCTGACGCCACATAAACCAGGTGTGGTGCTGCACAGCTGTAGTTAATCCCAGCACTTGTGAGGCAGAGGCAGGAATGTCAAAGAAGTTCATGGGCATCTCAGGCTACACAAGGAAGCCATCCTGGAATGCATGGGACACTGCTGCAAACCAGGAAACGAAAACCTTGCATATTTTTTTCAGGTGAAAGCATTTTAGAATGTTTGATCCCTGATAGCAATATAAAATTAGAAAATCATAAATACAAATAACAAGCACGATAGGAAACTGAAGGTACAAAAGAGGGATAAGATCTTTCCAAATGAGCTGTGTCACTCTCTTAGCAAGAGCACCCCTGGCCAGCAAGGTCTTATCCACACTGGTGAGCCATCTGAGGCTGAGGGTGGACCAATGCTGGACAGGTGGACAAGAAAAAGAGACACAGATGGACAAGGGCAAGTTCCAAACGAGGACCTCACTCACTGAACTTTAGAGTGAAGGAAATGTAAACAGCTTCAGAGTTCAAATCCATTCTTTGATACATGAGATAAAACAAATCGAAGTGTGCAGCAGTGATTTAAGGCCTCAGACCCTCATTGATGATACAGCCAGGAGTGAAAACTAGATATCTTCATACACAGTTACTGCCACTATGTTTTCCAATCATAACTATTCTCTAAGCTCTTACAGGGAAAATATTATGAGCAATTAATACCAGAACCTGACCACTTCAGTAACCAGAGAACCCAGAAATGTTTTTACAGTAACCTGACCATTGGCTAAGTCTTACTACCCAGCAATTACTAGTATGCATAGCCAAGCATTGCTCTCTGTGTCTATAACCTGCTTGAAATTTCCCAGATTCAAGACTTCTGTGCTCCTGTACATCTCTGACCACCATGTCTTTCCAGCCCACACAGGCTTGTATGCAATACTTCCCAGTTATAAAATAACTGGTGACACTTTACAGAGATAGAGGTTGACAGAGAAATATGTGCCATGATGCTAGCACAGCAGTATGTCCATAAACCAGAAAAATAAAATTGCCAGAAATCTCTGGGTTTTCTACTTCTTATGTTACACACATTCCCAACCATGGCTGAGTCCAAGCCACCAAATCTGTACCAAAGCTCCAAGAGAATTCTAGAATATTGAATAATAGGTTCTAGCATGTTGTTCAGAGGCAGTTTCATAACAACCCCAATGCAGCCAGGAAAAAAATCTAGAAAAATAAAAATTCAAACCGACTTTTGTGTGTTTGTTTGGTAGGGATGTATGTACTGTTCATATGGATGCATGTATGTGTGATGCAAGACGCATGTCCACACCTCAGTGGATCTGTGTAGAGGTCAGAAAGTTGAGTCCAAGTGTAAACCCTCAGGTTTCATCCTAAGCTTGCAGTTAGGCTACGCTAGCTGGCCCTGGGATCCTCTTGTTTCGGTCTACGTATAACTGGGTTACAAGTGTGTGCAACCATTCCCGGCCGTTAACATGGGTCATTGGAACTTAGGTATTCATGCTTCCAAAGCAAAGTTCTTTACTGACTGAGCCACATTCCCAGGCTTCAGTTCATTCTTTGTAAAGAGGAAGGTGAAATTTCAAAGGCAGACATGGTCACATGATGGCTGAGAAAGTCTGAGCGTCTGCCCCTTCTTGCCCTCATCAACACAGTGACGCTTTATACCAGAACAGTCAGTGGTCCTCATGTGCCAATGCAAGAAGAGGTTTTCAGACAAGGAGCAGCATTTGCCACATGAGAACACCTCTGGGAAATATTCACCTCTTGAGTACCTTTCCAGACCCAGAAAGGTGGAGTCTCAGGCTCAGAACACCATAGGTTGCATAGAACAACAAGAAATAATCTTTACTAAATACTCACATATGTGTCTTATGATCATGACTCAAGTATGAATCAGAGATAACACCTATTTATCTACAAACTCAATCATAAATCAACAATTCTCATATTTCCAAGGACTTCACTTTCAAAAATAGTTCAGATTTTTCTGACAAGCTGTTTACTTTCTGATTATCAACCCCTGTGTATTTTATAAAACAAAACTTAACAAATGTCCATATGCCTCCTCCATCATAGTTTCAACATTAGAAAAACAAAACTAATGTCTTCTCAGTAAACATTTTTTTTTTTTGCACAGCTCCATCTTAAATTTTGCACAAATCAAGGCAGACAGTAGCAACAGGGTGTCTTTATCCAAATCCACACACTGTTTTGTTAGCTGATTATCTGGTTATGGTTTTTTGCATGTTTGTTTGTGTCTGTCTGCCACTATCTATTGTCTAGATATGAACTCCCAACTTTCAAATTCATAATGAAGGCAAATAAACACTGTAGTGTTTTCCCTCCTCATATTTTAGAGGTTGGAAACCTTACAAAATAAATAGCATCTTTACCTTCATACAACAGGGTTACAGAAGAGAACGGAAGCACCTGAGAAAAGCCTCCACCGAAATTAAAGATGCTCAGCTGTGGGACAATCAAACGATAGACATCTGCCTTGATGCAATTTTGAAAATAATAGGAGGGGAAGCTAAAGCCCACAGCCTATGCTTTCTAACTCATGATTTGTTGCTGAGGTTATTTGTTAGGTAAACTCATGCAGTCTTAACATATTTGCACAGGCATGGAGTGATAATAAATGTGCTAGTAGATAAGGGATTAATGAAAACAGTTTTGGAGGAAAGTTCAACTATTTCTATCTTTCTTGGGAAATACAGAAGGACTCTGTCAGTGAGTTCTTGGCTTGAATGGGAAGTAGAATCATGGGGCTTGGGAGTAGATGCTTCCAAGGAAATTAACAGGTAAGTTAACTGGTCCTGGTTAAACCAACTATTGCCAGAAAAGCTTTGATGCCCGGACAGGACAGCAGCCTGAAATCAGCTGCATCATTGACACCTCTAAAACACAGCTCTTTCCATGAACAGTCTGTCATCATGAACCCCTCTCCCCAGATACGTTGGGTAAGAACACATCTCTGTTGTCACTCTCTGTCCTGTAGGTCACACACAACTTAGCCAGCATTTGTCAAGACATGTTCAAGAAATTCCACCTCTGCAACCATGTCCCAAACCCCAATCCCTGAAGGAAGCTGGAGAAAACTCCCAAAAGAGTCCTCATTGAGTCTGCAGTTGCTCCAGCCCATCCGGTGTCCCCACACCCGATGTGGGCATCATAACAGGCCTGGGGAGCTTTGGGACACTTACGGTTGACACAGCTTGATGAGGTCCTGGTCCGTGGTGCCTGGTGGAAGGCCTCGGATGTACAGGTTCGTTTTACTCAACTGTTCCCCACTGCTGTTGCTGCTGCTGTTTGTGCTGGGGCTGGGAGGAGCCATGGGGTGGGGGGCTGGTGCATAGGACTGCTGCAAATGCAAAGGAAAAACTGTCACTGGACAAACACAAGGCAGGACCTAGCCACAGGCCAGCAGCGTGCACTAAAGGCAGTGCAAGCTGCTTGCTCTATCGAGTGCACACACACACACACACACACACACACACACACACACACACACACTAATACCATGTTCCATGCTGCTTCTAAGAACATCAACATTCCTAGCTTTTCCCCTCCTCTGGCCCAGCATTTGGACAGCACAACCATGAATGGCAGATTGAGAAGTGAGCAGGTGCTCCTGGCATAAACTCTCAGCCTTTGACTTTGTCCCTCACCATACTGGCCCTCGAGCTTCTAAATGACTCTGTCACCGCCTTCCCTGTTGCACCGAAACAGTTCAGACCTGATGTTCGACCTTGCTTCTAACAGCCAAACATCTTTACCTTCCCTATTCTTTGGCTTGCTCCTTTTCTCCAAAGAAATTTCCATCTGCTGCTTTCCTTGGTCCCATGGTAGAGCACAGTTGTAAGTGCATAGACATCATTCCAGGCATCCTTGTTCTATAAGTGAGCAAGGGAAAGAGGAATGGAGGGGGTTCCTTTCCACTCTTAAACTGCTTTCCTGCTTCAAAAAATCATAACCGATTTGAAATCTCTGAGCCTAGAGTGTCTCCAGCTGGGTCCCCTGGGAGTCTAAACAGGAGGATTCATGTGTTGGAGCTACCCTGTTCACTGTAGGGTGTTTATCAATGAGTAGCCTTTGCACACCAGTCTATTGGCAGCTATTCATTGCACATGGGGGCTAATGATATGTATGTATGAATATTGCTTGATGTCCACTGGTCATGCTAAGGCTCCTCCTCATTTCAGAACTCCTATTTTAATCAGTCAAACCATTTTATGTTAAAATTAAAATAGTAAAATTGCCATCTGAAGCTTGGGAAGTAGCATATAAAGGTAATTATACTTATACAGATCAAAATCAGTAAATATGGCACTGCTTGACTGCCTTCCTCCTCATGCAGGCCACCTTCAGAGCTCAGATTATTACATGGACTGCCTGGAGAGGGCCCTTGCTGTGTGTCTTACTGGCTGGGTGACCTTTAGATGGTGACTTGGCCTCTGTAAAGAACAATAACCTCATTAACATGAACAAGATAATGATAGCTCTCCTGGTCACAGGGTCAGTTATAGACCGCAGGGAGTTGATGCAGACATGGCTATCGTAAGTGACCAGCTCACAGTAGTATGGTGAAGCCATACTCTGATATTTGCGGCTAGAACATTACACTAATAGTACTGTTCCTAAGAGCCCCAAATTTTTCGCTTGGAATTCAGAATGTCACTCAAAAGCAGGAATGAGCACTTTCTTCAACAATGGCTGTGAGGTTTGATAAGGGGCTCGGCAGTGAAGAGAATCTTCTGCCTTTCAGGGGCACAGGGTCAGTTTCCAGCTCCAATATTGTAGGTAACAATTGCCCTGTAAATTGTTCTAAGGGATCCGATGCCCTCTTCTCGACTCTGCTAGCAACTGCGCACACATGATGTACATTGACTCACACAGGAACATACAATACACGTCAAAAAAAAAAAGACATCTTTTAAATTATTCCACTGGAAAAATTAGAAATTAGCTGGGTTCTCTCCCAATGACTTAGTTAATGGGCTGGGGTGGGGGTTAGTAATTATCAAACAGAAAGCTTGTACCAGGGCTCAGTAACAGAAATGAATTTATTCAAATAGTGAGACAGTTAATATTGATTGTCAACTCCACAGAATCGACACTGAACTGGGAGATAAGTGTATCACATGTTTGGGGCAGTTTCTAAACTGAGTTAGTTGAGGTGAGAAGCCCAACTTGAGTGTGGACTGAACCGTCTCGGGGACTGGAAGGCAGGATGGAATAAAAATGGGACAGTGGGCAGAGCACGGGGGGGATTCATCTCTGCTCCTAACTGGAGATGCGATGTGCCCGCTGCCTCAAGCTCCTGGGACCGGGTCCTTCTCCACCACATGGACTATATCCTCATGCCGTGGGTGAAAGCAAGCCCCTCCTTCCTTCCTTAAGTTGTTTTTGTTAGGTATTTCGTCAAAGCAATGGGAAAGGTAACCAATACGGATGGTGTTCATCTACTCAATATTTGAGCCATGGAAGAAATCTAAGGGCTAATTTGATAATATGATGGAGGAAAATGGCAACAAACTATACTTTATGCCTTTATAATCGCATTGCAAACAAAACAAAACACCATAATCATGGCCAGATGAACAGGCACATGTAAGTAGCGAACATGTAATAACGGAAATGAACTTGCCCTTCACGACAGTGAGATGAAATCATGGGGATCCCACTGAACTGAGGCCAAACTTATCCCACTTGATTCCCTCCCTCCTCTCCAGTCACTTCCTGAATGTGGGTTCAACACACTGGGAGGCTCCCTTCATTTCTGCTCCCTGCCTGATTGCCCCTTACTGAGGGTTCTCATTTAGAGCTAAGCACCACACTGCCATTTTCCTTCCTAGCATTTGCAATTCGGTTCTTATTCATGTGTTGGGATTAGTTACTTAATGTCTACCTGTGTCTTGAGTCCGCTAGCAGGAATCACCTAGCCTGTAGCAGATAAACAGAAGGTGGCTATAAATCTTTAGGTGCTACCTTGTGCAATTACAATGAATAAACATGATGCTGAAGTTATGGATAGAGAGGGTGTGTTCACAGGACTCAGCTTTGTTTCCTGCTGCAGTAATCGGCTTACACCTCTCAAGATCTCAAAATGACCCTGGTCCGTATTCCCAAGCAGCTATATGATAGTGCTTCTTAAGATTCAGGACCTCAGGGTACATCTCACTGCACTATTTTTCACGCCCTTCCCCAGCTCCCCAAGCCTGAAGCCCGTCATCACGAGCCCCTTGCTTTTAGTACAGTCATCATTTTTCAGCCTCACTGGAGAACTTGGTGGTGACTTTATCTCTTTCTTCTCCCCAAATAGCAGAATACTACCAGCCATCCCATTCTCTGAATTCCTAGTCTTTCTCATGGCCAGAGTGTGTGCCGTCTGGTATTATGGTCTGTCTTCAGGCTTCCTATCTGTTCTCCTTCCTTTCCTGCTCCTTTACACAGGCCTCTGTTCAATTGGCTAGATGAGAGGCACCAAAGGATACAACAGAACTGTCAAATGCAAGCTCAGATTGGCTCAAAACGAAAGGATGAGGAAAGGAGGGTCAGGGGAAGAGAGAACAAGCAAATACCAGAGGAACAGAGGTCAGAATGCCATCTCCCAGAATGAACACGTTCCCAACCATTTCTATGGGTCTGCCTAATGCAAGATCAGCATTAGTAATATGGATTTCATCTTCCCATTGTTTTTGGAGAGGTAGATAGGTGCATGTTTTGTGTATTTGCAGTGAGGTATATCCATAACCTTTTAGGATTTAATCTGTGCATAAAACTTGAGCATTTTTAAAACATAAAAAGTCAGCTTGCTTCCCAATCTAAAGTTTTCTATATCCCCCTTAGACACTCCACAACACCTAGCTTTTCCTCTTGTATGAGCACTGCACATAGTAGATGCTATTGGTGCTTGCTAGAGTGGTGTCCAGGTCTCTGGCTCACAGTAGGTCAGATCACATTTATTTCCTCATTGGTCACACAAGTGCTTCACCGTCTAACAATTGCCAGGCTTGGTTGTTTTCAAAGCTGCCTGCCACCACGGTCACCTCCCCTCTCCCCAGATTCCTTAGATTCCATCCTGGAATGAGGAGTCTTAAAATGAGACTTTGTTTAAAGCAGTTGCCACCATTGCCTAAGCGTTAGCACAACTGCAGAACCTAAAGAATGTCCCCAGCTTTCTGTAACACAGATCAAGAGAAACCAGACAAACCTGGACTGACTGGTCAAATAAGAAAAGCAGCAGCTATCGCATGATCAATACCTGTTTGCTTAATTCTTTTGTTCCCTTGGGGCTCTTTGCAGGCATTTCCATAAGTAGAACACCATTTAGCAAATTGCATCATGCCTACAATGATCAATGTGTCCTCCGACAAGGCCAGTATTCAGTGGAATAAAAGACTAAAAGCAAAACAAAGTTGAAAAGGGGACAAGAAATGTGTATGCATGGAAATGAAGATGTAGAGCAAATCATGTGTGCAAGTGTATGGGGTGCGTGTGCATGTGTCTGTGTGTCTGACTATCTCTGTGTCCATGTCCATGTGCGTCCATATGTCTGTGTGTGCACTTGTGCATCTATGTGTACGAGTGTCTGTGTGTTTGTGGGTCTGCGTGCCTGTGTGTCTGTGTTTGTATGTGTTTGTGTGTATGGTGGGTGTACTTGTTAGTGTAGTTGTAGGCACGGATACATGCTGGCACATGTGTGTCATGTGTGACTGCATATTGTAGCCAGAGGTCCATCTTCGGTGTCTTCTTTAATTGCCCTCTACTATGGGAAAAGATCTCTTACTGAAAGGGAAGCGGTCACTACTCAGGTAGGTTGGCCAGCCAATGAGCTTCAGCATCTGCTGGCCTCTGCCCCTCAGTCCTGCGGCACAGGCCACCGTGCCTAAAACTTTCTGTGGGTTTTGGAAATCAGAACTCAGATGTCCAGGCTATGTCACAGGCACTTTACCAACCAAACCATCTCATCAGCCAGATATATCTTGTTTCTTATCAATGACTGTGAGGGCTCTGGGCCAGGGGGGGGAAGACATGTAATAGTAAAGGTAATTTTCTGCCAAACTCCTGTTTATAAAGTCTAGAAATTCTGCCCAAAGAGAGTCGCTTATTATGGAGCTAAGGACAGAGAGTCTTCCTAGTCTCTAATGTTTCATTTATCTTTTGGGGATGCCCCATGGTTCAGATAGCCATAAGAATTGTAAATTGTTCTTGTGATCAACAATTATAAATTCCCTCCTCTCCACCTCTTTTCAAAATAACATTCCTTTATCAACATCAAGTTGCAGAAGGCGCTCAGAATGCCTGATAAATGCACAGCCTAAATGAATTAACTTGTGAAAACCAAGAGCAATTTTGTAT